GATCCCTATATAATGTAAATAAACGTAATGGAAAGTATTATTATTTAATAATAGTATTTTTCCCATATTAATTGGTTGTTTAAAAAACTAATCTGTTACTTTTTATATTTATGAGGAATTTAATCTTTTTTAAATTTGCCATAGGTGGCACAAAGGTCTGATGATTTACTTCAAAAACATATCCCACAGTTCTGCTTTGATATAATGGAGTCATCATGAGTCAACATTGATGGCAAATGTTATATATATATATTTTTTTTCTTTAAAATCTCTGGTAAAATAGAATATTTAATCCTAACTTCACATTTAAAAATATTCTCAGAGGTTTTTTTTTTTTGCCTGATTTGTTATTATTTTGGGGCCCTATATTTACGGGAAAAAAAATTGTCTATCAAAGCACTTTTTCCTCTTGGATGAAGAAGAGTATAAATAACATTAGTAACCATAAGTTAGTTACTTCTGTTCTACATGGAGGAAATGTATTTAAGATATTTGAAGATAGTTGTTGTTGTTGTTAGGTGCCCTCAAGTTGGTTCCCACTCACAGTGACCCTACTTACAAAAAAAAGTAATGTTCTGTGTCATCCTCACAATATCATAATGTTTGAGTCCATTGTTGCAGCCACTGGGTCAATCATCTCATTAAGGGTCTTCTTTTTCACTGACTCTTAACTTTACTAAGCATGATATCTTTCTCAGGGGACTGTTCCCTCCCGACAATATGTCCAAAGTAGAGGCAGTTCCAGGGTTACATATTCTTGACTTAACAGACAACTCAAACTTGCCTTTTAATGTCATGCAAATTTGTCCTTACTTTGAAATTATTGAACCAACCCCTACTTGCAACAAATTCTTCATCCCAATCACTTTCACTTGTTGCACATGCAGCTTTTAACTCATTGAAAAGTCTGATGCTTTTCTTGTACTAACCCACACATTGCCATTGAGTCAATTCCAACTCATAGCGACCCAACAGAACACTGCAGAATTGCCCCCATAGGGTTTCAAAAGCTGTAAGTCTTTAGAGAAGCAGATTGCCTCATCTTTCTCCCGCAGAAAGGTAGTGGATTTGAACCCATGGACTTTTGGTTAGCAGCCAAATGCTTTAACCATTATGCCACCAGAGATCCTTTCTTGTGCTAAAATAAGGCTAAATAAGAGCCTTATGCACCTGTTCTGACTTAGTTACAAAGTCTTAAGACAAAGTCTTTCCTAAAAAGCATCTGGGTTTTTGAACTTCTTCCAAGACAGATTTGTTCATTCTTCTAGCAGTCCGTAGTATATTTGAACATGTTGTTGTTGTTGTTGTTATGTGCCGTCGAGTCGGCCCCGACTCATAGCGACCCCTCCTTGGGTTTCCGAGGCAGTATCACTACGGAAGTAGGATTGCCCAACCTTCCTTCCGAGGAGTGGCAGGTGGGTTTGAACCGCCAGCCGTCTGGTTAGCAGGCAAGTGTCTTAGCCACTATGCTGAACATAGGGACTGTGATTTATCCTTGCATCCTAAACCCTTAGTCCATATTAATGAATAATAAAAAGTAAATTAACAACCATTCACTGCTAACCAGAAGGCTGGCGGTTCAAACCCACCAACCACTCCTCAGAAGGAAGGTTGGGCAATCTACTTCCATAGTAATACTGCCTCAGAAAGCCAAGGAGGGGTCACTATGAGTTGGATCTGACTCAATGGCAATGAGTTTGAGTGTTTGAGTCAGTTCTGACTCATGGGGACTCCGTGTCTGTCAAAAAAGAACTGTGCTCCATAGGATATTCAATGTCTGATTTTTTTTTTCCCCCAGAAGTAGATCAGCAGGCTTTCTTCCGAGGCATCCCTGGGTGGACTTAAAACTGCAATCATTTAGTTAGTGGCCTAGCATGTTAGCTGTTCACAGTACCAAGGGACTTCTAGCCTGTATTACAGGTTCAGAAATATTTGTGCAATTTTATCAATAAAAGTAAGAATAATTTCAGGCTCAAACCTCATATGTGATTTAGAAATTATTAAAAATAACCCTAAATTTTCTTGTTAGTTGGTGCTGAGTCAGCTCTGACTTAAGGCAACCTTATATACAACAGAATATCTAGTCCTGAGACATCCTCATGACCGTTGGCATATTAGAGAATGTTAGACATTCACTTAGTTTTTCTTATATTTTCTAACATATTTTAATATTTTATAGGCAATAGAATACAGATGTTGATTATATGAAGGATTTTAACTTATCTAGGATATAATGGGTCCATTGCAGTTACTCAAAGGAGCCTGCAGAAGGCTTACTGCCTGAGTACTGAGTGGACTGTCTGGTTGGGAGACCTAGATCTTGTTCACTTACTTTCCATGATAGAACTACACCACTTCAGGTAAGTTATCTAACTTCTCTTTGCCTCAGTTTTCTCATTTAATCAATGTAGATATTTCCTTTATTCAGTATATCAGAGATGTGTAAGTACTTCAAAAACATAAATCAATGTCAAGAATATTAATTAGCCTTAAGTTTATGTTTTTCCTTAGATGTTATGTTTGTGAATAATAACAAAAATCACACCTTCTTTTACTGTATCTGACAGTAACAATTGATAATCATTTTAATTTAAATCATGGTTCTCAAACTTGTGTGTGCTTCAGAATTACCTGGAGGGTATCCTAAAACACACATTGCTGGGTTCCACCTCTAGATTTTCAGCTTCAGTTTCTTTGAGATAGGACCTGAGAATACACTTTTGTAACCAGTTCCAGGTGATGTTGATCTGATGGACAGGGATTCATGCTTTGAGGACCACTGGCATAAAGGTTTATAATCTTAACTAAGTGTTCTTCATCAGTTATGCATCTTCTACAACATAGCATTAAGGTTGAACCAAGAAAACTATGTGACCATCTAGGGTATTGATTATTCAATTGTGATAAAATTATATTGCACAGGTATTGTCTTATATGGGAGCTTTCTTACTTGGCAATGAGTAACATACATAAACTCTGTAGATATCAGCCAAAATAAGATTTCAAGGCTCTTTATGAGTTATTGGCTTAATGTAACCCTAACATCAATAGTATTTGCAGTCATATTTTCAGCCTAGTGTATGAGGTGTCTACCACACAATCCCCATTAAGAGAAATCAAAGTGGTACAGCAGATTTTCCTCTTGCACAGTAATTCTATAAATCTCTCTCTAAGTGGCAATATATCTCACTTTTATCCCACTTTTCATTTTAAAAGGGAAGTATAAGATCCAGAGATAAATTTTAAGTAAGAAAAAAGCTATCCTATTTGTCTTGAATTTGCAAATATTCACCAAAGCAGAATAAATATAAAACTAAGCTGAAAGTTTAGCATGACTTGAGGCATTGACTTTAACAAAGGGATATATATATACAGATTTTTCTGTGTAAGCATTTATTTAAAATTTCTTTGTCCAGTCAAATTATTATTACATGAATGTGTTACTATATGTTAATGTATGCAATGAATTGTTGATACTTAAATAAAAATGAAACCATTTTACCATGGTGGAAACTTCTACTTCCACATTTGTAAATTATTCATTTGTTCAGTAATGCGTTCAGGTTTAATTGAATCCAGTGAACTTCAATGCATCAATATTTTATAAATTTTCAAATACAGAATACATGCCAGAAAATTTATTTACTATGTTTTGTATTAAAAAACTGGTAATATTTTTGAGTGCTTACGTTGGTCCAGGGAGTATCCATTATGCCTCTCACATATTACCTCATTTAAACTTCCCAGTAAAACCTAAGTCACTTGTCCAACATCTCATCAATAATAATTGTTAAAACAGGGTGAAACAAAAGCTGTCTGAGTGCAGTATCCATGTTTTTGGCAACTATTCCATTCTGCACCTAAGAATTAATGTTTATGTTAAAATATAACATTATTTACTTTTTTATTTTTTGGAATGCATGTGGAATTAAAGGAGCTAAGTCCAAATCATTTCCAGGTGGTAAGATGCTTTTGTCTTAAATGAGGGTAGTTTGTGAGGAAGACTTTTCTCTGTAGTCATACACGTCAAAAACTACTGACACAAAATTTATTGTACTATTGACATTACCATGACAGTGAGTTCATGTTATTTCACCTTTGAAATAAAATGTAAAAGACAATATGAAAAAATTCACATAGAAGTTCCAGAGCTAGTGTTATGCCAGGCTATTTTGTATTCATTCACTCTTCTGCAAGATGTTTGTTATTGCTCTGTTCAGGTTGTTTTTCATCTAGAAATGATTTTAGGCACTGGACACCAAACCAGCATTGAAAATTAGAGACCCATGAGCCAAACTTGCTTATCAATCTATATTTTAAATTTTAAAATTGTGCTTAGTGTGTTCAAAATGATTTGCAAATAATAATGAAGTGTACATGCAATCTCTGGGTCAGCCCTAGGCTCACTCTTTATTTTACCTATCTGCCTCACATCTTCACATTCATATTTTACTCTAGTTCCTAACACTACCTGATTTCTAACCCATGTTCTTAAACACTACTTTTATTTCTGTTGCTTAGATCCATTCAGGAAGATTAAGATAATAGGTTATAAATAAAAGTAAAAAATCACAGGTGTCAAGTTTTCTGTTTCTAGAATGTATTTTTAAAATAATAGGTGAGTGAGTTTATGGTACCTTGAGGATTTCTTTGCTCCCAAATTATTGTTAAGTGATGAAACTATCACATAGCAACACTTTCTGGAATGCAGTGTGAGCACTTTTATCTACTTACTTGACAAGAATCGATTCCTCCTTCTTCATAACCTGCACACACCATATTTTCTGTAATGTTATATTCTGACATTTGTTGTTGGCATCTGTCATTTGATAGAAGAGGAACAACAGCTTCTTGCAATATGTCTGCAGTAGAACCTGTTCAAAATGGGTGATGCAACCAACCAGTCAGCAGTGATCAATATGTATCATGAATGAACCATCATCAGTCTTATTTATTCCAACATTTCACTCTCATTATTGAGTACTGTGTGTATGCATAATGGAACTAAATACTAAACTTTCTTCTCTAAAGAACATAATAAATCCCATCTGTGGGTTTTTGCCAGATGGATAATACTAAAGTGTTTCTTTCTTTCTTTCCTAAGGGATACTAGGAATGGTGGATGGGACTAGATGGTCTCAGGTATTTTCAGTAATTCTAAACAGTTACAGGATTGCTCATGAAAAAAATAAATAAATAAATAGAGTTCTATTCATGGAAATTAGTGATGGCTTAGAAACCCAGAGGGGCTTTTCATTTGGCACCTGAGGAGGTGCTCTTGTATAATGACTTTCTATGTAGTGCTGTGTAATTGAGCAGGTGCATATTGAGCAGAAGATAAAGCTGAGATGAACTGTGCCCTGGTCTAAAGGCAATCAGCTTGTCATTCATATCTGCAGTGAAGAGAAAAGAGGCATTTTTGTAGCAAAGTGTACTTCCACACTTTTTACAAAATGACTCATTCACTGAAAGGCTGAGTCTGGTTTCTGAAATACCACTTCCAAGAAGGATATAAAAGAAGCTGGTGTCTAGTGACCTCGAAGAGGTACATGATAACACTTTCCAATAATGGGTGCCTTTATTTGGTTCCTCCAGAGATGAAGAGAGTTGAAGATAAGGTAGTCTATATGGTGGCCAATGTTGTTGCAAAAAAATGCCTCTGACCTTATTTCCAACTCATTTGAATCCATGCACTAAAATAACTAAGGAAACAAGTAAGTAGGTGTATGTGTGTATGTGTGTGTGTGTGTGTGTGCATGTGCATACAACTCAGATGCAAAGATGTTTGCATATGACTCAGTATGCTCTGTTGGTAAATGTTTAACAACTGTCTCTTCAGGGTTTGCCAATTTGAATACTGTAAACACTGACCATAGTCAATTTCAAGGTACCAGCATGACACTGAACATGAGTTAGGAGGGTGTATGGCACAGAACTGGATGACTTTTACAGTTTGACAGTGAATTCTAAGCTAAGAAAGTGAAGTGGAGATGTTAAGATGGAGGGGGAAAGTCAGCATCTCACTGTCATCCAGTGAAGAACACAGATGGGTTGGTGGACTTTAGTTTTATAATAATAAAAATCTCAACCATTTTTGGCTCCTCTTGAGGAATAAAAAAATAAGGTTAGGTAGTTAGTCTTTGGTATGGGAAAACTGGAGTAATGTCCTTATATTTAATACTTGCTTGTAATCATGAGTTATGAAGAGAGCAGTTTAGAATACACATACACACACACATACACGTAAGGAAGCATGATCAATTTCAGTAAAGTTATCTTTTGCTTAAAGTTATTTTGATTACTTTATTTTGACTCATTAATATCACCTCAAGGGCAGTGGTAATTTAGTGGTAGAATTATTGATTTCTGTGTGGGATACCCGGTTTCAATTCTTGGTCAATGTGTCTCAAATGCAGTGACTTACTTGTCTGCCTGTGAAGGTTTTGTGTTGCTATGATGCTGAATAGGGGGACCAGGAAGAAAGGTCTGACCATCTACTTCCAAAAATCAGCCAATGAAAACTATGAATCACAACAGTGCCATCCAATTGTGCGTGGTATCACCGTGAGTCAGGCCCTACTCGATTGAAGCTAACAGCAACAATATCATACCACCTCATTTCTTCCTAGCCAACAATATAGTAAGGATTTTCTTAAGTAATTAATCAGTGTAACATACTCAAATTAAGGGAACTTTTATTTTATTATGTTCAATAGAAATCATAAGGCAAAGTTCATTAAAAATTTGCTATCATGAAGTGTTTGTATATAACCTGGAGGTTTATTCTGAAATGAAATTAACCTCATATGCAATTATTTTTCCTGGCACCCTACTACCTTTAGAGATTTTCTTAAGTCAGTTAAATATATATCTTTAGTAACAATAAGTAAATGTAAGCCAAGCTTACTCAGTTGTAAAAAAACAAAACCAAACAACATTTTCTGTGGAATAAAGAGTCTTAAATTTTGTTAGTGGATAATTTGCTTTTGAAGAGTCTATGTGGTAGTCATAAAATGTATTTCCTTTTGAAGTCTGATATGGAAAATCTAAGATTCTATTTCTCTGTTTTTCTCAAATTTAATAAATCCTGACATTTTTCAAGTGGAAGACATGAAAGTGCATAGGTCTTTGACTTCAGTGTACTTCATGGATAACAAGTAGGATGTGTTTTCAGCAGTGTAATGCCATTTCAGTGAAGGACTTTTGTCAGAATCATGAGGTAAGAGTTTGAATTAGAACTTTACTCTTTCTTTCATAACAAAAAAAGGATGTTTCATTGTGAGTGCTTTGCTTTTAAAATGTGCATCAGTTCACAAGATGAAGTGAAATTTCATTTTAAAGACAGAATTTTAAAGCACCTTACTTATGCTTTATTGTGAATACAAATGCCAGATTTTCCTACCAGATAGAAGTGCCTCTCCTCTTTGTTTAACAGTTATTGAATGGCCAAAACACTGTAAGATGGAGTATTCCCTATTTGGAGTTCTGTTGTCAGTGAGCCATGTGATTACATTTGCAGTGTAAGTAGTACTGATTTTTTTCTTTTTCTTTTTTCAATCTAGGTTCTTTTTTTTTTTAATTTTTGTTGCTTTTAATATATATCTATTCTCTGTATGGAGTCCCTGGGTGATGAAAATGGTTAAATGCATAGTTGCTAACTGGAAGGTTGGCAGTTTGAACAAGTGTGGGATTACCCAATGAGCAAAGTAAGCACAGGCTTACTTTGTGCTTACTTACTAATCTTTAGTGAACAATTTCACATTTTTTCGCTACATAAAATAGTGGCATAGTGCCTAAGGCATTTGACTGCTAACCAGAATGCTGGTGGTTTAAACCACCAACCACTCCTCAGAAGAAAGACTGGGAAATCTACTTCCATAGAGATATCGCTTTGGAAACCCAAGGAGGGATTGCTATAAATCAGAAGCAACTCGACAGCAGTGAGTTTGTTTTTTATTTCCCTTATTAGGTACCGCTGACATCTGTCTGTCTTCCAAACCCACAGCATCTTCATACAGATGCAAAACTTTTTTTGAAATTTACAGTCCCTGACAGGAATGGGAATGGAGTGTCCAGTATGTGGTGAAAAAATCATGTGAAACTGTTCCCTGCAGATTAGTAAATAATCACAAGTAAGCCCAAGTTTGCCTGCTTACTGGGTGTTCTGGTTACCTAGTGCCGCTCTGAGAGAAATATACCACAAATGGGATGACCTTAACAAACAGGAGTTTATTCTCTCACAATTTGGAGGCTTTAAGTCCAAGTTCAAAGTGCCAGGCTCTAGGGGCTGGGTGAAAGCCCCTCAAACTTGAGGTCCTGCTCTGCCTCCTGCTCCTGGCCCAGCTGCTGGCTGCTGAGGCTGAGAAACCCCAAGGTTGACAAGTAAAAAGGCACAGTCCCAATATTACCAAACTACATGGTAGGCCATTAACTTAAGTCCATTTTAAGGCCCAAGGCCCGCAGAACATAGCAAGCTGCTGAGCAATGACATGGCTATATGCAGTGTCCAAGCATGCCATAGGCTCAGGCCATTCCCAAGGCTTCTCCTTATATACAGGAAGCAGACCACATTCAAAAGGCAACTACTCAGCTGCTTGTGTAGGTTCCCATCATGGACTACCACCAGCTGCCCAGCTACTCAACCGGGTCCAGCCAAGTTGACACACAAACATAACTACCACACTGGGTAACACACTCCTGGTTTGAACCCAACTGAGAGGTGCCTCAGTAGAAATGCCTTCTGTAGTTCTGCTTCCAAAAGATCTGACCTAGCTAAACATTGGTCTTAACATTGTTTGAAGTGGAAACAAAGAGTTTTATTGAAAAGTATAGACACTCTGAATCAGGGTATTAGCCCACAGACAGGGTACTGTAGTCTTCCAAATTGCAAGAAGAGTGAAATTTTTATCAGGTAGAGTAAACAAAGGGCTACATTGTCATAGGCACAAGGAGGTATATGGTGTATTTATATACCTACTACTCACTTATTGACTCTTTTGTTATCTGACATTGCACATTTACAACAATAGTAAAACCACTATGTGACTACGTTGCTCATTAATGATATATGTCTGGCAGTAAGCAGTACTGAGGTGTGAGGTGAGAGTAACTGCTGGCTGTAATGGTTAAGGTTATGTATCAACTTGGTAGGGCCGTGATTCTCAGTGATTTGGCAGTTATACAATAGTAAAATTTGGCAGTTATTTAATGATGTAATTTTGTAAGTTATGTAATGATGTAGCTATTGTCCATTGTATAATTTGATGTGGCTATCCTCCATTTTCACTTAACATCGATTTTTATATAATGACCTGATCCTTGGTACCCAACCATGTCAATAAATGAGGAGTGGGTATAATTCTGAAATTAGATATAAGTTTGGGGAACTCTTGTAGTTCCCTCAAATAAGGATTATAGTTTTATAACACAGCCTATAACAACTAACCAGTTGCTCTCTAATCAGTTTTGACTTGTGGCAACCCCTTGTATTTCTGAGTAGAACTGTACTTTATAGGGTTTTCAATGTTGTGAGCTTTTAGAAGTAGAATACCAGGCTTCTGTTCTGTGGCACATCTGAGTGGGTTGGAACTGCCCACCTTTCTTTCTAGTTTAGTCCTTAGCCATTTTCATCACCCAGGGACTCCCCATACTCTCTGTATACTTATTAAATTTTCTTTTTTTTTTATTTTTGCATCTGATAATTTACCTTGGTGTACAACCCTCCCCCAACCAGCAATAGAACAACTTTTTCCTGGAGGGAAAGTTTGGTTATCTTCTGGTAAACAAATAGGTTGTATATAATCTGAAAAATAAAGAAAAACAAATAAACAACACAGACAGACATACATCCTGTTCTAACAAGTTTTAGAAATGAATCATTTTAAACATTTAACTTAAAAAAACTCAGCATTTTTTGTTTTTTCCAGTCTGCACATTTCTTACACGTCAATTTTAGGGGGAAAAAAACAAAAAAAAAAACTCACTGCCGTGGAGCCGTGGAGTCGGATCTGATTCATAGCAAACTCTCCTTGGGTTTCCAAGGCAGTATCACTACGGATGTAGATTGCCCAATCTTCCTTCTGAGGAGCGGCTGATGGGTTTGAACCACCAGCCTTCTGGTTAGCAGTCAAATGACTTAGGCACTGTGCTACCAGAGCTGGAACAAATGGTTAAGTACTCAGCTCAATTGAGATACTACCAAAGATAGTAAATGGCAAGTGGGTGGATCAAGGCCACCCAGAGGCATCTCAAAAGAAAGTCCTGGACATTGATTTCTGAGAGGTCACAGCCACTGAGAACTTTAAGGTGCACAGTTCTACTCTGACACCCTCGGGGTCACCATGTATCTGAATCAAGGACTGTTTGTTTTTGGTTTGTTTAGTCTCTTGATTTATGTTTTATAGTATAAATACTACCTTCTTTCTGGAATTAAGAATTTATATGTGATATGCAAATAATCATGATTTTTAACAGAAAATAATACCAGTTCTCTTAAAATCTGGGTAAGGTTATTTTTCTTAAGTCAATGAAGGGAAACTTGCACAAATGTACTGAGGCTCTTTTGATTTTCTTCAATTATCTTCACATCAAAAAAGCATTTATACAATTGTTTTACAGGGCACTTCTGGAAACATTAATATTGCTCACTGACTTTAAAGCACTTCTGCAACAATTTACAAGCCACCTGGCATTTATTAAGTGCCCCTTACATGAAAGACCCAGGGCAGACACAAAGAGGTCTAAGATACAGAGTTTACCCTCAAGGACGGGGTACACAACTAGCCATAGTAATAGTTCACCTTTGACAAGTGCTATAATGTTTGTGCAGAGCAAATTTCATGAGAATCAGGAGATGGGAACACTTAATCTTAACTGGGACTGGGAAATGTTTCAGAGCAAAATTTGGAGTTGGAGAGTACCTTTCTGGATGAGGTTCATTCCCTCCGGTGATTTTGTGCAAATTATCCAAGCATTTGAAGGAAGTCCTCCATCTGCTACTCTATTAATATTATTGAATCTCTTTTTAAACCTTTAATCCATGTTGTTGTTTTTGTTGTTGTTGTTATTTGCCATTGAGTCAGCCCCGATTCATAGCGACCCCCTCCTTGGGTTTCCGAGGCAGTATCACTACGGAAGTAGGAATGCCCGACCTTCCTTCCGAGGAGTGGCTGGTGGGTTTGAACCGCCAGCCTTCTGGTTAGCAGTCAAGTGCCTTAGGCACTATGCTACCAGAACTCCTCTTTAATCCATAGACTACTTAATTCTTAAAAATGTTCTTTTCCCAGAAAATGTCTGACTCTAGCCTTGGTGGTAGATGGACTGTCATTCTTTTACCTCAGAAATAGAGAGGGTGTACATAATAATATGACCTATTTTCTTTGTGCTGTTCTTTCAAGTTTATTGTTGTAAAGGGCTCTGTGAATTTTATGCTGCTAGTCAACTTGTAGAAAGTTAGATTGAAACACTGAATATATCTTTCACCATTCCCAAATTTCATTTAAATTATTAAATTATTTTTATAAGTAATTATCCAACAATTATGGATTATTAATTACTTGATTACATTTCAAATCTAATTTTAAATTAATTTGAACAGATTAGGCAATTTAAAGTGAATACTTTTACCTGTATAATTCACTTTAAACTCAAGGTGCATCATGGCGATGTCACTATCTTTTCTTCGTTTATTGTAATGTGGGTTTATGACAATTTGGTCTATCCGCTGAGTTACTATTTGAGGAGAAGTCAGATTTGATGTCATATGCAGGCCTAGGATTGCTTTCCATTTAGAGGGCTCTAAGTTTCTCCTGAAGATTATAATAAAGAAGATTAGGAAAACTTTTCCATCCCAATCAGGTAGTTTCTAGAGATCTTCAAGAGAGATATTTCAGATTTATTTTTCTTGATTATTACTTTTCTGACTTCTACTTATTTATTCTCCTTACTTAATAGTTAAGTATTTTTACTGTTAATATTTAACACCAATGTTCATTACAGCACTATTCACAACAGCCAAATGTCAGAAACAACCAAAAAAACATGTCCATTGATATCCGATGGATCAACAAAATGTGGTACATACATACAATCAAATTCATTCAGCCATAATGAAAAATGAAGTTCTGATGGATGCTACAACATGGATAAATCTGGAAAATGTTATTGTCTGATCTCACTGATATGAAATAACAATGGGCAGATGAATAGAGATCAAAGTTCATTAGTGGGTACCAAGGGCAGGAGGGAGGGAAAGGAAGACCTATTGTTTAGTAAGCAGTAAGTATTTGTTTAGGAGCTCTGGTGGCGTAATGCCTAAGGCATTTGAGTGCTAACCAGAAAGCTGGAGGTTCAAACCCACCAGTCACTCTTCAGAAGGAAGGTTGGGCAATCGACTTCTGTAATGATATCACCTTAGTAACCCAAGGAGGGGTCACTATGAGTCGGATGTGACACGATAGCAGTGAGTTTGCTTTAAGTATTTGTTTATGGGGATGAAAAATTTGGCAACAAATGTGGGTGATGGTTTACAACATGATTAATGTAATTAATATTACTAAATTGTGCTAAATATTGAATCGGCAAATACTGTGTTATATATATATATATATATTCCTTAAATCCTATTTTTTTTTTTTTGTCATATTATGGAGGAAACCTTAATTAGGTATTATACACTTTCTATCACTTCTCTGAAATAATCTCTCTTCTCTAGTTCTAACTTGCGGTTCTCGATGCTGTCTGTTAGAATCACCTTGGACCACTTTTACACTATAATGATACCTGCTCATCCTCCCCCATGCCACTTTGCTTTAATGAGTATGGAATAGAGCATGGTTATGTTTAAAAATATTTTGGTAAAAGACATTGTAAGTGTTACAGGATAGATTAATTTAAAAAGGACCTCCGGTGGAACAGTGGATAAGGTATTGATATGTTAACCAAACAGTGGGCTGTTCAAATCCATCAGCCACTCAATGAGTGAAGCAGGAGCCAGTCTGCTTCCATAAAGGTTTATAGCCCTGCAAACCCCATGGGGGTCGCTATGAGTAGGAATGGACCTGATGGCAGTAGTGAGATAGGAAGGAAATATCAGGTCTCAACGAGTGAAATGAAAGCTGAAAGCCAAGTTAGAAAATTGAAAGACTAACTGAGCCTAACTGAAAGAAAAGGAACAAAAAAAGTCACTCGATTCTGTGCTATACTACTTGTAAGATGTTTTTCAAGCACAGCAGTTTGATCCAGCTATCCAAGCATGTGCACAGTGCTGTAAGATTACTGCTATGCTAAGGCAATATCGAGGCAAAAGTACCTAGTAGGAATCTAGCCAGGGCTCTGAGGAACAGTGCATGTGTGAAATCCCAGATTAAGCTTTGAGGAGAGAACCCAACAACCTTTTGGAGGGATTACCTCTTGAGCTTCCTCTGCACACCTAACCTTCATAAACCCACCTCTTTTCCTTTTCCTGCTCAAAACCCTTTATAAACCCAAGCAAATCCTTTGTTCAGAGAGACAAGTGTTTGCTTCCTCTCTCTTTGTCTCCACCCTTGAGCTACCTTTTCTTAATTGCCTTATTCATGTGCAAAGTATGAGCCACTCCTGGTCATTCTTGATCAGTGGAGGGGAAGGGGCTCAAGGGCTAAGCCCAGACACGGAAAGGCCCCAGGTGGGCTATGATTTTCTGGCAACCAAAGCAAGACCTGAATAAGACGTCCTTGGGGTTTCCATATATCGGATCAGGAGACTAACAAGACCTGGCAGACAAGTGAGCTGCTGCCAGGACTCACTTTGTCCTGCATCCTTCTTCTTGGTGAGTGGTCTCCCAAGTTCTATTCTTGGTCCCAGTTTCTGTATGAACAAACCTTGTTCTCTTAAGCTTTCCCTTTTTTTTTTCTGGGTCATTATATTAAGTAGCAAGCAGCAGCAACAGACACCTGAGGACTCAGCAAGGATGAAAAGTTGCTTGTCTGGATATGGTCAATCCAGAGACCAGCATGAGCAAAGTGCCTCTGGCTCATGGGGCTGCTAGTCTCCATTGAGATTAATCATCAAGATTGTGGGAGGGACCTCTGTTGAGAGGACCTAGTCCTCAAGAGGTGATGAGGGAAAGACCCCAAATTTGCCCAGGACCTAAAATCTCTTTGTTTCTTTCTAACTCCTAAAAGTTGACCTTTACCGCCCCCTGGTGTCCAATGAAGGTAGCATTTGGCTTTCTGTCTGTCCAACACTTTTTTTTTAGTCCTCTTTCTCCTTTTTTTGTTCCAGGCTCTGGGGAAGTTCATTCTCTGTCTCTTTAGAGTCTCCCTTACCTCCTGCCCCATAACTAGCCCATTTTGCTGTTTCTGTGAGCTTTTGAGATTGCCATATTTGTGGCTACATATTTGAGAGAATAAGGGAAATTTCTTTCTCTTCTTTTGCTTTCTGATAAGACACCTGTCAGTGACACCAAACTTCTAATCTACAGTATAGATGTTTCCAAGACCTGGACCTGGTGTAAGGCTAAGGAGATGTCTCTTACCCTCAATGCCTGCTATCAGTTGCCTGCACGTGGCTCCACACTCTCATCTTTGTGATACTTAACTAGTCTAACTCTACTGTGTGGCTTCTATCAGCAAGGATGGTGAGACAAACTGAGAACTGAATTCCATACTGATGCCCATTCCCAAGTTTCCATCCAAGTCTTGGATATTTGATTGTAGGTCCTGAAATGTACCAACATGGGCACCAGGGCCAGTATTCTTGCAAACTCTTCCTTAGGGTGTTTGCTAAACCACTGATCTGCTTTCGCCCTTGATGGGCTGGGGAAAAAAAAAAGAAAGAGAGAGAGAGAAATTTCTATTTTCCTGCCACACTACCTGGCTGCAGTCTGGGGAATCAAGAAAATGACTTGAGAATGGTAATATCTCTTATAACTCCATTTTAAAATTAAATCTTTTTTTTTTTTTTTGCAAAACAGAAGGCACAATTTCCAAGTTAATTCCTAATATCAGGAAGAAGCTCCAAAATCTAGAAGCATGACCTAAAATCCTACCCTGTGGCTAGTAACCTAAACCCATTGCCGTGGAGTCAGATGTGATTCATAGCGACCCCTCTTTGGGTTTGTGAGGCTGTATCACTATGGGAGTAGATTGCCCAACCTTCCTTCTGAGGAGTGGCTGGTGGGTTTGAACTGCCAGCCTTCTGGTTTGCAGTCAAATGCTTTAGGCACTACACCACCAGAGCTTCCTGTGGCTGGTAGAGGAGGCCTTTAAAGTTTTTAATAATAAGGACCAGAAAGAAGAGGGGAAGAAGAAAAGAAGATGGGTAACCAATTGATGACTGCTGCAAATGCCTAAATGCTTGCAGTAGTCCTACATAGACCACCTTGAGGTAACCCACAGGGGCCAAGAAGATTTAGGTTGTTGGGTATGACATGGCAACCACCAAATCTGGGGCCAAACCAGGGTAGGTACTACTAGAAGGAGGGTCACTGGAAGAAGGACTGCCTAGAGCAGCCAGAAGCAGGACACCTGGCAAAGAGTCTCCGAGACCTCTCCTAGGCAAGCTCTCCCTGTAAGGTGGAGCTGAGTGCTCTGATTGATGAGGCCTAGAGGATCACCCAGCTCCCAGACACGCAGCAATTGACATCACTCCAGCAGAACTTCAGGTTATCATCAACATTTTCCTATTAGACATGAGAGATGCCTACTCTCTCCTGATCCAAACTCATGGCTGACTCTGACCGCAATGGCACAGTTACTATGGTTGACAGGAACCCTAAGGTAAGAAAATTCACTTTACCCCTTAATTGTTATATAGGGCTTAGCATTTTAAGCCACTCCTTTCTTTATGTCCCTGTATACTTTATCCTCTTGCTAGAAAGAGATTTACTTACTAAATTGGGTACTTTTGTAAGTTTTGATAAGAAAATAATGGAAACAGGAGATGATGGAATACCACCACCCTTGGGAAAGCTAAGAATGCAGAACTCGTGCTTATAAAGTTAACACTAGACTCACCTTACCCTTGGAGAAGAGAATATCCTTTGAAGCCAGAAGCTTAGAAGGGAATAAAACAAGTGTTAAAAAGTTATTTAAATCATGGACTAATGTGGACCTGTCCATTTCCATGTAATACCCCTATTCTCCTGGTCAGGAAGGCAGATGAGGGTTAAAAGTTTGTTCAAGACTGTAGAGCTTTCAATGAAGCCATAGTTCCTATACATCCTATAGTTCTCAGTCCTTACACCCTTTTAAATCACATTCCTGGAAATAATATTTTACAGTTCTAGATTTAAAGTTCTTTTTTTCTTTCTTTCTTTCTTTTTTTTCGTATATCACCACACCCAGACTACCAATATCTTTTTGCCTTTGAGTGGAAAGACCCCAGTTCCCCAGAAGCTACCCAATACACATGGGCAAGGTTGTCTCAAAGTTTTCAAGATTCCCCTCATTTATTTGGGATTGCATTGTTTAAAGAAGTGGGAGGGCTATATTTGCCAGAAAGCATATTGCTTCAATATCTTGATGACTAGCTACTAGCTAGTGAGACAAAGGAAGATTATGACAGAAATACAATCATGCTTTTAAACCAAGAAAGGCCAGATATCCCAGTTGTTGTGTTAGTTGCTATCATGTTGGCTCTGACTCATAGCAACTCTATGTACAACACAATGAAATAGGGACTGGTTGTGCAACATCCTCACAATTCTTGCTATACTTGAGTTTACTGTTGCAGCCAGTGTGTCAATCCATCCTTTTGAGGGTTTTCCCCTTTTTCTCTGAACTTACACTTTACCAAGCATGATATTCTTCTCCCTTCTGACAACATG